CGAAATTGAGACAAGCTGACGTCTACATGAAATAGTTCGTTTTTTTTTTGTTATTCAAATCTCTTCTACTGTTCTACTTAGCTTTCGATTGCTCATACCAGCTTTTATCGCCTTCGAGTAGGTAAAATAATTGGAAATTCTGACTGGTCGCTACCTTCAAAAATTTAAATTTGAGTGGATGCAATCTATAAAGTTCAAATAAACAGGGCAATTCTAGTTAAGGTAGTTGCAAGTATTTTGTAAGACAATTGAAAGCGAGTAGGCAAGATAGTTTGCTTATTCTGGCATAAAAGTCATACAAAAGCTTTTTGTTAAGTTTCATGTCGAAAAGCTCTTTCGAATCCTCGGTCACCGGAATTTTTTCATTTTTATACATTTTTAACCGACTTAAGAACAAGTAATTTTTAAGCAAAAAAAAAAACAATCGATTTTAATTCTCATATACAAATTAAGGAGTACCGTTAATTTCTTTAACCTTAAGATGAAAAAAATTATCGAAATCGGTTAACGTTGTCCAAAGTTATGCGGTAACATACATAAAACAAAACAAAAAATAATAACCTTTCCTTTTTTGAAGTCGGTTAAAAATGAGGAGGTTATCAATTCGTCGAAATATTTTTTTTTTGTGTATGTTACCGCATAACTTTGGACCACGTGAACCGATTTCTACAATCCTTTTTTCAAAAGGAAAGGTAGTACCTCAGAAATGGTCCCATACTAATTTAGTTTAGATCCGATCTTTGGATCATGAAGAAACTAACGGTACTCTAAAAGTTTTACATGAGAAATGAAGTTGGTTTTGTTTTTTGCTTAAAATTTACTTGCTTTTTAGTTTTTGAATTTTTTTATTTTGAAAAGAAAAATATATATTTTTCAATTTAACTTAAGGTCTAGACACTTATTTTATGCATTTTTTCCTTTTTTAAAATTCATGATTTTTTTCGATTTTATTGTTGCAAAAATAAAAAGATTTCTTACTTAATTTAATTTTTATGTTATTTATTCATTTTTTCTTTTCTTTTATTTTATTAGCTTTTCGTTTTTTTGTTTTAAAAAGGGAAATATTGTTTTATTTCATTTAATTGTTATTTTATTTAATTTTTCTTTTATCTTAATTTTTTCTTTACTTTTTAATCAAATTTTAAGCTTTTAATTTTTGTTGTTTAAAAAGTAAAAATATCTATGCATATTTTTAATTTAATTTCATTAATTAAAATGTTACTGCTAAGAGACAAACAGAATAATGCTAAGACCTCCGTGTCAGGTAAGGTTAGCTTAGCGGGCTGCCTCCGTAGATGGAGGGCCACTTAGATTTGACTAAGCTGTTCATTGTGATGCCCTTAAGAGGGGAGTGGGAAAAAGATGTAGCGATGCCGGAAGGTGAATGGCAGGTTAGGGAAATAGGGGCGGAGAAGCTAAGGGAGAATGACGACACCTATGGCTTTTTGAAGGAGAAACGCTCCGTGCTCGCAACGAAGCTCTTCAATAGAACAAGTGCGATTTTAATTGAAAGAAAGCAGAAAGTAAAAAAATGCAAGAATGATGTAAGCTACAGTGTGGGGGTGTATCTTTAGTTCAAATAATCATTCCATATAACTGGTGATAAATCTGTAAATGAAATTGCCAAGGGAACTTAATGTACAGAAGAGAGTGTAAAAGGCATAGACGGCTCCTTTTTCTTGATTTCCGGCACTGGAACTCTCCATGCGGGTTTGGCCGAGTGCAACGAAGAAAGCCTGTTGCTTTTCTTCTCTGTAAACTGGAGCCAAATGAAAATACCAAGTAAAGCCAAGTCTTTCCACAATCTGATCTTGCCATTCGCGATCGGAGTCATATAGTTTCAGACCTGGATGATTTCTGTCCATTCGTACGGCATTCACCATCGCATCTTTCCCTCGAACACTCCATCGGAGGTTGTCACTGTTCATGCTTCTTCGCCATATAAGTACAAGCACTTGAGTGGTCCGTGCGTTGATTCCCACATATATATAAAGCGTCGCTGGATTTCGAGGCTGACAATTTTATCGGTGCTCTAATGTTGGTTGTCTACTCTGTATTGCGATTCTAAAATCAAATCATTCGGATTCGAATACTATATGTACATATGTATATGTATTTATATTAGTCCCTGTCGACGACGACCTCCTCATTTGACTCAAATTTCTGCTCCGCGAGTGACTTTTTCAAGTTTGGAAACAAAAAACGGGGCCAAATCTGGAGAAAACAGTAGATAGGGCAGCAGTCCGTAGCGTTCGACCAACATGGCGATGGCGTTGGCGGAGATGTGAGCCGGTGGATTGTCATGGTGTGCTCTTTGGCTTTGTTCGCCAAATGGGGCTGTTTTTCTGCAATTCAGCATCGAATTTCCCCAATAATTCATCGTAGTAGGGCCTTGTGACCGTTTCACCTTTCCCCAGGTAGTCAATGTTGATCACACACTGTGAATTCAAAAAAAAAAAAAAAACGGTTGCGATCACCTTTCCC